CCTTCCCTTCCCACATTTTGGCTCAAAGCATTTCCAGCCATGGCTAAGGTATGAATGTAATGTCCCGGAAATGGGAGCTGGGAAGAGATACACTGTGATACCTTGTGATACAGCATCATTATCCTGCAGATAAGCCAGCTATTCAATCAGAATCATACCCATTGACATCAAATTTATTTTAACTCCTAACTATGCTATAGGGCAAAGGAGAACTTGCTCTGTGGAGTTTCCAAGGCTTCAGGCCTTACAGAAGCAGAATGCCTTACCTTTCTCCACAGAGGGGCTAGTGGATCACACCACCAACCTTTGGTTATTGACCACTCCAGGGTTTGACCACTACAACACCAGGGCTCTTCTCAGAAGCATCGGTAACCGTGCAGGTGACAAGATGATTAGGAAGTGATGAATTTGAGTGTGTTATTCTTTTTTTCATAATTGCTCGCTCACTTGTAAGTTTCCATCGTTTAATATTAAGTAATAGCTCTGTTTTACAGTAGTCAGGTTTCAAAAAAAAAATTAGTCAGCTTTCATGATTAAATATGTATTAGCTCTCACTCTGGCCCTAGCCCAAGCCCACCAGTTCTGGTCCTAATCCACCAACTCCGGCCTTAGCCCACCAGCTCCAACCCTATCCCTCTTTGCCCACCAGCTCCAGCATAGCCCTCCTCACACATCAGCTCTGGCCTTAGCACACCAGCTCAAGCCCTGCCCCTCCTTGCCCAACAGCTCTGGCATAGCCCTCCTTGCCCAACAGCTCTGGCCTTACCCATCCTCGCACACCAGCTCTGACCTTAGCCTACCAGCTCTGACCCAAGCCCTTACTCACCAGCTCCGGCCCTAGTCCTCCTTGCCCACTTGCTCTGACCCTAGTCTTCTTTGCCCACCAGCTCCAGTCTAGCCCACTAGCTCTGGGCCTAGCCCTTCTCACCCACCACTGTCTCTGTCAAGTGGTGCTGCTTCTCAGACCAGCTCTGCAGCACATTTAGCAGGGATCTTAAACAGTTAGGATTAACTCTGTAACTCACCTTTCTCCCTAGAAAGCTTGTAATAGATCTGATTCCAATTCTAAGTCTGTCCACTTCATCTCTCAAGGTAATTGTTGTTGTTATGTGCTGACAAGTCGCTTAGATAAGAAAATATAATCTAGTGTGACAAGATGTCAAAAAATTAATA